TTTTTTTGAGTTGGAGTCTCACTCTGTTACCCAGACTGGAGTGCAGTGGCTGCTCCCAGCAGTGGCCGCTCCCACCTCAGTCTTCCACGTAGCTGGAACCATAGGCGTGTCCTATCACACCCGGCTTAGTTTTTGATTTATTGTAGACACAAGGTCTCACCAAGTTGCCCAAGCTGGTCTTGAACCCCTGAGCTCAGGCAATCCTCTCGCTTGGATGACAGGCTAGAGCCACCCCGCCCAGCCACACGTACTATATTTCAAGAATTGGTTTTCCTCTCTGCCTCCCCATCTACAACTGTGAGCTCCTTGCAGTCAGAGGCTTATCTGTATCCCTGGCGCCTACCTAGTAATAGGCCCTCCTCAGGTGGGTGTTCAGGTTGTGCACCGCTCAGGGGTCCTCTGTGTAAGAGGACATGGCCCAGAGTCATACGTGTACTCACTTAGATGAGCCATGTTTCCATGGACACGCGACCCGGGCGGCTGTGGAGTTGCTCCCCTGACAAGGCCACACGGTCTTCCTGTCGTGCACGTGTTCTGGAGGGCACACGTGATCAGCCCCTCCTCTGGGGTCTACGCTGAGACCATTCTGTCCTCTCCTGTGTGTCAGAGGCTGGACTCCTCCATCCGCCTGATTCACACCTGGCAGTGTGTGGTGGGCTGCGCCCCATGCTGTGTCTGGGCGTGGGCCAGGGTCGCTACCCGCGGGGTTCTGGAACGCTCCAAGGCGGGAGTTGCCTATGTAGTGCAATCATAAAGCCTCATAAGAGTACTTGAGGACAGGGACCTTTTAGTTGTCATGCCGGGGACTCTGCCTTAACTTTGGGGAAGTTACTGGAGCTGGTAGGAGCGAGGGATCAGAGTGGCCGCCTGCCCCTTACCTCCTCACGGCTCTGGACCTGGCACCAGGGGCAGCCTGAGAGGCAGCAGCCTCACTCATGGCCGTCCTTGACTCGGCCGGCCTACCCGGGTGTAGGGGGTGGAATGAACACGGGAATGCCACTCAGCAATGAGGCAGGACACGCAGCTGCTGGAACCACAGTCAGAGTGATGTTGAACCCGTAATCCCAGCACTTTGGGAGGCCAAGGTGGGAGGACTGCTTGAGCCCAGGAGTTCGAGACCAGCCTCGGCAACCTAGTGAGACCTTGGCTCTACAAAACACAAAAGGTTAGCTGGGTGTAGTGGCACACATCTGTACTGTAGTCCTAGCTACTGTGGAGGCTGAGGCAGGAGGATCACCTGAGCCCAGAAGGTGGAGCCTGTGGTGAGCTGTGATTGTACCGTTGCCCTCTAGCCTGAATGAGACTCTGACTCAGAAAAAAAAAGATGTGTGTTAATCCTAAGAATGTTGCCTCCTCTCCCAAGAAAGCCTCCCCATTCCTACAGCTTCCGGCAGCCTCCCCTGAGAGTAGATTTCAGGCAGAGTTGTGGGGCCTCCACCCCACCCAGGGCCTTTCTCACCTGCTGGCCCCTCCTTCCGCTGATGGGCCGAGTAGGGAGGCTGGTCCACGCCCTCATGGCTCTTTTTTTTTTTTTTTGAGTTGGAGTCTCACTCTGTCGCCCAGACTGGAGCGCAGTGGCCACTCCCGGCCACCGCAGCCTCGACCTGCTGGGCTCCGGCGATCCTCCCGCCTCAGCCTTCCGAGTAGCTGGAACTACAGGCGCGCGCTATCACGCCCGGCTAATTTTTGCTTTATTGTAGAGATGAGGTTTCGCTGCCCAGGCGGGTCTCGAACTCGCAGCTCAGGCAATCCACTCACCTCAGCCTCCCAAAGCGCTGGGATTACAGGCTGAGCCTCTGAGCCCGGCTCCTCATGGCTCTTCATGCAGCCGGGATTGTCTCTCGTGGCCCTGCCCTTTTGCCCTTCTTGTGGCCTCCAGGGGCTACTGACTGCTTTCCCAGAACTGTCAGGGGCAGGGCATGAGCCGCCCGTCATCCGGGGACACCCATGCCTGAGCAGTGAGGCCACTAGCTGGACATGTGTCCTATGAGCCACGGCGACCGTCACCTGGGAGGCTGCAGTCTCCTTGTGGTGCTGGTTCCTCTGTAGGAATGCCACTCAGCTTTTGTTGTCTTGACTTCAAAGCTTTTCTCAATTTCTCCTGTATTTCCCATCTTTTTTATTTTATTTTATTTTATTTTTTGAGTCGAGGTCTCACTGTGACGCCCAGGCTAGAGTGCAGTGACACAATCATGGCTCACTGCAGCCTCCACCTCCTGGGCTCAAGTGATCCTCCCGCCTCAGCCTCCTAAGTAGCTGGAACTATAGATGTGTGCCACTGCTCCTGGCTACGTTTTTTGAGTTTTTGTAGAGTTGAGGTCTAGCTGTGTTGCCCAGGCAGGTCTAAAACTCCTGAGTTCAGGCAGTCTTGCCACTTCAGCCTCTTAAAGTGCTGGGATTATAGGCATGAGCCACTATGCTTGGCCTGTTTTTACCTTCTTCTTCTTTTTTTTTTTTTGAGTTGGAATCTCACTCTGTCACCCAGACTGGAGTGCA